CAGCCCTAATCTAGCATGCAATTCTCATAATCATATCATATATCGAAACAACATGTATGGGTATCTTGGGGAAAACTTACTTGAGCTTGGCCGATTGCACGCATCACACACCTTGTTCTTTTCAAAGTTCTTTCTCTTTTCAAATTCTTTTTCAGATTCTTTTTATAAAAATGTTTTTCTTTTGAAAATTTTCATACCAAGTCCTCAGTTTGAGTCCAGACACACCTGAGAGTGTGCCCGAATCCCTCAAACCAAGGCTCTGATACCAACTTGTAACATCCCAAATATCAAGGCCAAAAATTTCATTTTCGAGCTTAATAAATATAAAAACCATTTGTCTAAAAACAACCATAACATCAATCATAACAAATCCATAGTATCATTAGTCAATACATATCATGATAAACAATGTCAGAGTATAAAATCCCAAGGATCTCATATGCGGAAAATAGTGTGTGTGATGCGTTACTACCGTGCCAGCTCCTTTCCCGTGGAAGAAGAGGGACTTGAAACAAAAACTTTAAACCATAAGCACGAAGCTTAGTGACTTCCCATCCTTCGGTATCTTTCAATCGGTATCCGGGAGCTGGCCTCCCCTTCAGTATCTTTCAACCGGTATCCGAGAACTAACCTCCCCTTCGGTATCTTTAAACCGGTAACCGGAAGCTAACCTCCCGTTCGGTATCTTTCAACCGATAACCGGGGACTATTTACCCCTACCACTACCACATAATAACATATCATAAACATACTACCAGTCATGCATGGGTACTGCCTACCCCTTCAGTATCTTTCAACAGTTATCCGGGGACTATTTCACCCCTACTGCTACTAACATATATAACAGAGCATCCTAGTACATAAGCATATCAGATAGTGGCAAACCAGACAATTATCACAAAGACAATCATCTCATACGTAATCACCTACTGGTGGGCCGACATTGGTGCCTTAGACCCACCTCTACTAGAAGGTAACTCACCTCGATGTCGTACAGTAGCTGAATTGTCCTCGGCTCGGGGATCAACTCTCCTCAACTCCTACACATAATATTTCTCTTAGCTACTCATTCATACTCATAACCGTTTAAGGGTCAACTCTGGTCAATGGTCAAGTCTAAGGTCAACACTCTGGTCAAAGTCAACCTTTTGGTCCAAGTCAACATTCTGGCTGACTCAACTTGCCGAGTTGGTCCATCAACTAGTCGAGTTCCTGGGTCCATAAAACTTTGGGGTCTCGATACTGCTCGTTGAGTTCTTCCATAAAACCGTCGAGTTCCCCTTCATACAAGTCGGGGCATTTCACTCACAACTCGCCGAGTTCATCCTTGAACTCGTCGAGTGCATCTTCATCTCAGTTGGGACAATTGCTATCAACTCGCCGAGTTCATCCTTGAACTCGTCGAGCTCTATGATCTTCAAGTCCATAAACACGTCCAACTTGCTGAATCATCTTCTAGACTCAACAAGTTGCTCAATAACAGAAAAGGTTGGGAAACTACGACCCAATTCGCCGAGTCGTATGAACGACTCGTCGAGTCCTTCAAGGTCCAAATCCATACAGTCGATTTCAGTCGGGCTCAACGCATCCAAAACGTAGATCTGACCTCCTAGGGTCGATATTACACGTAAAGTTACAAACTTTACGTGCATGCATGGTGTTATGAGCTAAGAACACCAATACCAAGTCTAGAATGAAGTTTAGGCCAAAGGGAAGGGCCAAAGCATGATAAATTCGTGAACTTTATGACTATAAGGGCTTAAAGGGGTTTGGATCTGAAGTTACAACTTCAGATCACAGTCAATATCCGAAAAGGTTCGCATAAATGCTAAAAGATGGCCCTAAACTTAAGCATGGAGAGATCTAGCAATAGAGAAGTCAAGGTAACAACTTTATACCTCAAAGGGACTGGAAATGGAGCTTGAACTCTGGATCTACTGTTTCCTTGAACCTTCTTCTTCTTCTTCTAGCTTCAAGAATACACAAACTCCCTCAAGGATGGCTCACACACTCACAAAATGCTCTAGGGTTTCAAGTTAGGGTTTTCTGGACTAAGGGAGACGATGGAGGTTGAAATGGATGTCAGTTAAGGTGTTTAAATAGGGTGTAAACCCTAAAAATTAGGGTTTCATCCTGGCAGATCTACTCGTCGAGTCGAGGCTCTCGACTCATCGAGTAGGTGACTTAAGTCCCGCGTCCAATTCCCATTCTACTCGACGAGTTGGGCCTCTAACTCGTTGAGTCCCCTTGTAAAAATGATTAATTCAATATAAAAATACATACCATGAACATGGCGTTACATTCGGAGGTCGGACATCCACAAGAGATCAGAGGGATGATGATCTATCAAGTTCCTCCATTACCGGGTCATTAGGATGAAAACTCTGCACACACTCATTCTAAATTTTTCCCTCCATATTATCATGGCCATCAAGATCATCTTTTCCGGATTTCCCCCCTCTTAACCCAAATTCCTTCTTATTCCTTTCATCATCCTCTTTCATGTTTTTCAACGTTTCATAAATGCCAAAAAAGGATCTTGTAAATAGTCTTCTTGATCATCCTGAGATTGTAAACTCGAATGAAAAAGATGGTATCCATCCCAATGCTTCTTTAATTCGAGCTGTAAAGACAATTTACAAGATCGAAGAATAGTTGGCTATTTACAATCTCAAGAAGACTATTGTGATAACATGCTGAACGACAAATCCAAACTCAATGAAAGCAAATAAAATCGAAGAGTAATTGACTAGAGATTAGCCGACATTGATCGGCGTTTGAACCCGCTGAGGAATCCTGAAATCGTCGGAGTCAATGAAACTTTTTTATTTACACTTTGATTATATTTAAACAATGTTATTTGTCATATTTTTTAGGTTCCATATCTTTTTGTCATAAACAATGACCTTTTGAACCAATATCCTTTCATCTACTACTTAAAGTTCAATATCAATAAATCCAATTTATATCTATCTATCTCTTATAAAGGAGTTCATTCAAATGAATATGGTTCAAGGTATGACATCTATCTTGAACCATATTCATTTGGAACTCCAAAACTCTTCACCTTATGATACTTAAGTAGTTATTAATTAATTGATGTTTTCCTATATAAGAAACACTCTCTTCTCTTCTTTTTTCACTTTTCTTTATCTTTGCTTTTCATTTTCGTTATCTAGAGTGCATAGGAATGAAGTTTGTTGAGTGCAGGAGTCAAGCAAAACATTTTTGGTATTTAGAGATGACGAAGAATTTTCTCAAGGTTATACATTTAGAAACAAAAGAAAAGTGTTGTTAATTTTGATGTGTTATGTATTAAAAGTGTGTTTGTTAAAGAAAAAAGAAAAAAGAAACAATGATAATTTTTTAGGTGAAGGTTGTACATTTAGAGCCAAAACAAATTGTTGTAATTTCTAATAATTTTGAAGTGTGTTTAAACAAGAATTGTGTTTGATGAGTTCTCTTCACATTGATGAAATAAGTCTAGGAAAAAACTACAAATGTTAAGTGTGTTTTTGAAAGAAAAAAAATGAGATATTGAATTGGCTTTTGATGAGTTCTGTTCATATTGATGAATGTCCCAGTTCACTTACTTTGTGGCATATTTTTGTGTGTGAATATTGAAAAAACTATATAAGAATTCTATGGATGTTATTGTTGTTCTGTTTTGTCACAGTCGTGGCTTTTATTTTAATTACATAAATCTTTTATATCTTATATTTTTTAATAGTTGTACTTTGAAAAGTTTTTATCTTTTTAATAGTTGTACTTTGAAAAGTTTACATTTCATAGTGTTCAACTTCCAAATAATTTATTACAAAATGGTTTTTGGAATAATCTATATCTCAATGATTATGCTATTGCATTTTAATACATATAAATATGATTAATTTATTTAATTGTATATTGGGGTTGAAAGTTATCATTTACTACACATAAATATGATTAATTTTCTTAATTGCATATTGGGGTTGAAAATTATCGACTATTAATCGTAAAAATTGGACAATTATTATTTCTAAAATTATAGGGACTTAAGTTTGTATATATTGCATCTTCCAAACATCTTTTTGTAATTTATTTGAAAATACATATAAATGTGAAAAAATTGTTACATAGTTATGAAATTGTTGTCTTAAATATATAACTTTGTATTATATATTTGATTAATATGTTTGTAGAGCAAAAATAACATATACTTTCATATAAATAAATACACACAAAATAATTGATGTATATAATTTAGTTTTTAATAATTGGTTTGAAGGTTTGGTATAATATTTAGTTTAGACATTAAAAGATTATACTATTCATTTAATTTACTAAACATAGTTTAAATGTTTTAGTCATATTTAATTAAGTCTCATAAGTATATATCATGAATGAAAAAGTCTCTTTAGTTGTAGTGATTTATTCCAAATAACATTTAATTGGAAGTTGAAAAATTAGAATATGAAAAGAGACTTGAATGCTATTAATAAATTTTTATTACATCTGGTTAAAGATGTAAATTTTATTATTGAATAAAAATGTATGAGGATTCTGTGTATGTTATTGTTGTATTTTGTCACTGTCATGACTATTATTTTAATGACAATTCTTTTAATTCTTATATTGTTAAGAGTTGTACTTTGAAAATTTTCCACATCATAATGTTCAAATTCCAAACTTTTTTATTACAAAATGGTTTTGGGAAGAATCTGTACTATGATATTTTTCTACTGTAATTTAGTACAACTAAATATGATTAATTTTATTAGTTATATTATCTATTTGATATTTTTTACAAAATACTCTCATTTGATTTTTGATGAGAGATTATATTTAACTAGATGGGAATTAGTTGCGCCTTTGGCGCTGCGTTTGTTTTTTCTCCTTATTTCAAGTTGTAGCAAACGATAGAACATATTATAATATTTATGAAAAGATATTACATACATTGACATGACCTGCAGTTGATAGAAAACAAATGATCTTTGAGTTACTTCATTTTCTTTTCACAACAAAAAGCAGTATGATCATAAAAATAGTGAAAAAGTACTCATCAAACAGAGATTGAGCCCAAAACTAAGCTTACCTTAGTAACAGATTCCAAAAAAAAACATAAACAAAGAATTTTAGCGCGCAGTTGGTGTGCATCATGAAAGTTTCTTTCAAATGTCAACATCAAGACGAAAAGGGCTGATGGGCTGATGCGCAGTTGGCGTTCTTCACTTTTGCACATAACATAGGTGAAGTGAGTAAATTTCCCAAATATTTCAGACGTGAACACAAAATCAGCACGTTGTAATACATCTTACTAGGCGTATCACTTACCCATGTGCACCAAATGTCCCCAGGAAGACAACTGTAAAAGATTTGTAAACAGGCTTGACATAAATAAAGGCAACAAATTAAAGGGAAAAAACAGAATTAAGGAGACTATACTAACTGACCTGTGTACTTAAATCACCAACGTCTGTAAATTCCATAAACTGCAAAACAGCCCCACAATCAAATTTGTTGAACAAACAAAGGCATAATCAATTCACAAAAAAAAAAAAACAACATAAGCAATTGCTTTAATTTATGCCCATATGATAATACATGACCTCTGTTTGAGAGTCTTCAAACAACTTCATCTTTCGGGCCCCCCTTTAATTCACTATCCTCCCTTTTGCTGACCTGTAAACAAACACATAGCTAATCACAGAAACATACACATACACACATAAAGAAAAACTTTAATATATTCAACATTCACAAATACAATCGATTGACTCCTAATTCACCTGGCCCTTAACTTTCGTACGGGATACGTTTTGCCGATGGTTTTGATAATTCTGGAAAATTGCACACCTTCAAACTGAGAGTCGCTTCTTCTGTTTGAAGAATTATTCAAATTCAAAGCTTTGGTACACCTAAAAACACAAATACAACCAAAAATTTAGGGATGAAGTAGAGTAAGTAAGAAACAAGTTGACTGTTGGTGTAAAGGAAGATTACCTCGAGTAGGTTCTAGGGAAATCAAGTTATAACCCTATATATGATACTTTCGTTGCGTCGATGCTCATATTTTCGACAATCATATCTCCAGATGATTACATCCCTCCTGGAAGAAGTGAAGCATAAAAAGATTTAAAAAATAATAAAAAACCCTAATTTGAAGATCAAACCTGGAAATTGTAAACAGGGAAATATGTAAGAACGTCAAAAAGAAGTGGTTGATGGAAGTTGCAAATAGCTTATCTTCTCCAATCCAAACATGTCCACTTCAGCCATTGACTGCTCTGTTTCCTTGATCCATCCATCAGTTTTACTGAAAACAAAATTCAAAAGTGACGGTTTTTTGGTTGAAGATGAATTTGACATAGGGTGGGGATCATTAATGGAAGAAAACTTCTACCGGGTGAGAAGACAGTCAGTTCCGAAAAAGTCCTTCTCTTTCTGTGTGTGACCATGCTTCTCTCCTAAGATTAATATTGAACTCCTGAGACTGATATTGAATGATGCAGAAACGGTGGGACAACAGCTCCGCTCTTAAGCCGATCAAAATCGGGATAGAAAAAAGGACAAGGTGGAAGGAAGTGAAAGGTTGTTGAAGAACGATATAATGGATTCTTTTATGTGGAGAAGCTGTAAATTAAAAGAATGGCGGTGGGAAGCATCAACTGGCCGAGAATTGTAACATGTTTATTTCCAGGTAATCTGTTTATAAAAATAATATTTATATTTTCAAACGTGATTTAGTTTTAGTAGAGAGTTCATTTCTTTACAAAACGTTCCTTCACTTTATAAAAAGAGTTATTACATTATCAAATATTTAATACTAAAGAGAGATTGTAACGTTCATAACATATTAAAATTTAAAACTTATATATATTGTATCCGAAAAAGGAGAAAAACATCATATGTACTCATCTAGGAGACTAGGTAGCAATCTAGTCTCGATCCACTTACTTGTATCTCAATCTTGAATCATATTGTAATAATTTATTCTAAACTGAAATAAGGAACTTATGGGGTTGACCTTGTGTTTTTCAGACGCCAGAGGGCCATTGTGGCTCTCTAACCACCATTACCGCTGAAAAGTGGTGATATCGTCAAGCATCACTACCACAACGCTATTAGGAATTGTTTATTCTAGGGATGTAAACAAGCCGAGCCGAGCCGAACTTCACGCTAATTGAGCCATCATCGTTTAAAGTTACTGAAACTCGAGCTCGAGGTTGAGGTCGTTAAGAGTCGGGAGGCTTGAGATCAAGTTCGAGCTCGTGAAACACATATGAAGCTCGGAATCGGCTCGTTAAGGCTCATTAAGACTCGTTTCTCCGAAAAGCTTGTTAAAGATAGGGATCGACTCATTATTTTTCTATTAAAAAAACTTAAAAACACATTTCCATTGTAATATACTTTTATCCCCTTCCATTCCACTCCCTAAAAAAACTCAAGAACAAGGTGTTAAACCTTTAGCTTACACAAAGCTCTGCTCCTCTCAGCTTCTAGTAATTACACCTTTAGGCAACCAACTTCATGTATAACCCATTGGAACCTCAGATTCATGGAACCTGCATCAAATTGACCAAGTGAGAAAAATAATTTCATTCAAGTACCTTTTCCGGTGTTAAGATTGATTGATACAATCCTTTGTCATTTTAACAAATATCAAAATAGTTTTCCTTTAACAAATATCAAAATAGTTTTCCTTTTATATAAGGAGTGATGTGAAACTTTTGAAAGTTTAGGGGCAAAAGAACAAATTCATTTAATCTCTTTCCAATCTCTTTTAAGGAGGGAATCAGAGAGAGAGAGAGAGAGAGAGAGAGAGAGAGAGAGAGAGAGAGAGAGAGAGAGAGAGAGAGAGAGAGAGAGAGAGATGTTGGTGATTTTAGTGCCACCATGTCATTTTATGTAATTGGAACTTAGATGTGAGCTAAGGGGATTCATAATTTGTACTCTAATATATGTAGGGGTATGTGTGGAGTGCACACATGTATAAGATCGAATTAGAAGCCGGTTCGACGACAAGTCGGGGGTTCGGGGTTTCCAAAGGAGCATCACCCCTTTTGTGGGGTCTAGGGGAAGTGGCCCTAGCGGGTGTCACATCCATAAAATTCATGAAAAATTTAAACTTTTTAAATTCAACCCAAGTTCATAAATTGTTTGAAAAACATCCAAAACCATCATTGTTCACAAATTGTTTTCAAAATAAACCAATATTAGAGTTTTCCTAGAAATCACAATCATAAAAAGGAGGAGGTGCACGATCATGCCTTTACCTTCGAGCGATCGTCCGAGGTACCTGAAACCAAAATCCATAAATGTAAGCTCGAAAGCTTAGTGAGTTACCCCCAATATACCGATACATAACAGACAATGCACATAAGAATAGAAACAACATGTAATGGGTCCACAACTCTACCGACTGGATTACCCCCTGAGCCCACAGTATGAGTCTGGCTTGCCCTCCGTGGCCCTCAACCCATATATGGCTTGCTCCCGAGCCCACAACATAAGTTTGGCTCACCCTCGGGCCCATAGCTTATGTCTGGCTTGCTCCTTCAGTCCTCAGACTGGAATATATGATTAGCCTTCAGTACGAGTCTGGCATGCTCTGCCCGACCCGAAGCTCGTATCTAGAATGCTTATGAGTCCTCAGTATGAGTCTGGCATGCCCTTCCCGACCCTCATCTCATATCTGGCATACTCTAGGGTTTGTTGGCCACCGCACGGAGTAGTGCAACTTCAACCCAACCAACACAACATGTCGACATGTAACAGATAAATGCGCATATAGATAATCAGATAATATCACAGGTAGTCCTACAGACCTACCAGACTAGCATATCAAGACTAGCATATCAAAACTAGCATATCAAACCAAGCATGTCTAACTCATACTCAACATACGACAACTACTGGGATATCAAATCTAATGGGCCGAAATTGGTGCCTTAGACCTCTTAGTATAGTGAGGAGAACTCACCATAAATACAAGTACATTGCTTTATTGAGAACAAAGTTCATTGCTATAATGAGAAACAAAGTTGATTGCTAAAATTGATAAACGAGTTTATTGCCATAATAAATAACAAGTTTATTGCTATAACGAGAAACGAGTTTGTATGTGTATGAGCAAACAATGAGTCTCAACCAAACCTATGACTGAAGCCCTATCAAGATCTATGCTTATCGTTCCATAGATGAATATGGTATCATGCACTCCAGCAATAGGGCGAGTGAGGAGTTGTCAATTCCTAATAGCGCTATCCATAATGACCATTGGCTCAAAGAGTTAATGGTTAGAGATAAGGGAAGGGCCTTAGTACGATAAGTTCTCATGTTCCGTGTTGCATAGACATACATAGAGAGACATAGCAATAAAATAGCAATCATGTTTGATACAAATCAATTTAAATACAACATTCAAATAATAGTTTTTCGGGACATGCTTTTCCACCCCAAAACATAAAAAAAAACTGAAAATAGGGGAGTGCGTGAATACTCACAATGTTTCGAGTAGATACAAGTGGTGCCTTGGAATACACCAACGTCTTAATGCCGGGATCCTACGACATCAAACACACACTAGTGAGTTTCTATGTCGAAATCTAATGCTAATATACTAAACTCTACATATAGAGAAATGTCGAATTTATGTTCTAATATCGGTTTTATATTAATTGGTTACAATTTTTCTGAAATGGTGAAATTCTATAAGTCATGTGATTAAGAAAATTTTGGATATTAATTTTCCAGATTTAGTAATATAATTTGAGGGTATTTCAACACATTTAAAGGTGTTTTAAATTCATAAAAACGCAAAATATTATCAAATAGTTTCCAAAAATTGTCAAACCTTGTATTTTCATTCTAAATACAATAGAGGTTTTCCAGAAAATTTCCCTTGAATTTTTTTTGATATGGTTAACTATTTTTCTAAGTTTTTAAGCCTTCATAACCAAATAAATTCACGAAAAATAGCATTCAAAGGATGAAAATTCTCAAACTTTTTATTTTACTGTTATTACACATTACTAAGCTAGGAAAAATATAAAAATGGATTTCCAAGCTGTTTAATTATATTTTATGATTTTTGAGCATTTATTCTAATAAAAATTGAAATAAATAGAAAACAGTTTCCAAAATTACTCAAACGATAGAAATCACATGTCGCAAATACAAAGTAGCACAATCTCACAAGATCCAACTCTCCAACTATAGCTCCAACTCAGCTACCTACAACCACCGTGACTAATTCCATCAACATCTCAAATTACCAAATTATCCCCAGAAGTCAAACTTGGTTAACCATGGTCAATGTTAAAGTCAAAGTCAACGGTCAACATTCCATGTTGACCCAACTCGACGAGTGCATCTGGCAAATCGTCGAGTTCCTTCAGAACTCAGAAAATCGGGAAAAACCCTAATCAACTCGTCGTGTTACCTCACCAACTCGCCGGAAAGCGGGAAAACCCGATCCAACTCGTTGACTTGTCGGTCAACTCATCGAGTTCTCCCTAGTCTTAGCATATTCAGACACTTTTAAGCAAAACCAAGACTCCAAACTATAGATCTAGTCCTCTAAGGCTGAGATACCACGTAAAGCTGCAAGCTTTACGTCCATGCTTGGCATTGAGAGGACTGACTTGCTAAAACGAGGCTTACAAAGGGTTTAGGGCATGGAAGGTGGCTAAAGCTTGATAAAGCTTGAGTCTTTAGGCCTAAGGAGGCCTAGAGGTGTCCATATCTAAAGTCTTATGTCCAAAACATACTCAAGTCCGAAAATGGCCCAAAAATAAAGCTAAAATGACCATAAACTCTCCAATGAGGAGATCTAACAAGAGAGTGATCAAGGTTGTGACTTTTTACCTTCAAATGTTTGCTACAACGGTGGGAATTCCGAATCCACAACCTCTTCCTTCAGCTATGCACTAAATACTTCAAGCTCCTTCAAGAAAATGCACCAACAAACACTCTTAAGGCTTACACACTCTCAAAATGGAAGGTTAGCACGATTTAGGATTTCTCTGGACAAGAGGGTGGTAAGGGAGGCTGTTAAGGGGACTTAAGGTCCTTTAAATAGGGTGTAAACCCTAAAAATTAGGGTTTTCATGCACAACCTCAACTCGTCGAGTTGGGGCCCTCCAACTCGTCAAGTAGATTCCATAATCCACACGGCCTGATTAGTTTCTACATAACGAGTTGGGGCCTCCAACTCGTCGAGTAGATCTTATGTGATGTATAAAATCCTTAAAATTTTCATACCTAGGAGTCGGGATGTTACAGTGGGGTCCAAGGGGCAGAGCCCTTAGTGGGAAAAACAAATTCTTAAGGGTGATTATGGTAAAACTGACGAAATTCGTTTGTTTTGGAAACCTTTGATTTCCTCATTAAATTCTGGATTTTTCACACTTTCTTCCAAAGCAACCCATGACGGCCAACCCTAACAAGCAAACCCAAAATCTCGTTTATTATAAATAAACGACTTTTCTCTTTGAGAACACACAAAATTATTTAGCTCTCTTTTCTTCAGACGAACATAGAATCCTTCTAGCAAATTGGCTTATGATTTCTGTGCCTAGATTCGTAGGTGCCTCTTGGATTATCCTAGGCTGAATTTCTTGTAATCCAGACATAGGATGGAAATATCAGTTCCAAAAAGCATTCACACAATCCAAGGGGTATCTAGATCT